CGAGGTCAAACGGTCATAAGTGGCCAACTCATTATAAGCTGCTGCAACGTTTGAAAAATGATACACTGACAGCCCAAAGTCTTAGCAACCCCGACTTTTTTAAGAGGTTTGTGCTAGAGATATGTGGGTTGTCTATACCTCATTCTTCAATTATCGCGCACATAAGTTGTCGCTTACTCGCTTACTCCGCGCGCATGTGCTGCTAGAACAATTTTAAGTACATGGTTAGTCGTTAACCTAAGCAGTAGCGCAAGTGAGATCTTTCATATATCGCTTAAGTGCACTTCTGCTTGTTCTACGGATTTAGGCAACCCGATGGATCAACAGAAGCGCTCCTATATCACCGCTATACCGCTACACCATGAATTTGAACAATCGAGCAAAAATACCATATCAAACATGGGCGACAACACGCATACAGTCCACCTAAATACTCTAACAGTTCCAATGAATGCTTTAAGGGATATCAAAGAATCAACCTGTCGATGATTTAAAAAACTATCTGACCTAAATGTTAATCTTACAGATCATTTGGAGGTCAAGTATTACCTCTTTTGTAAGCAGATACATGTAATGCTTGATTTCTGCATCAGAGTGCATTTTGTCACATGAGGTCAAGTAGTCATAAGGAGTAATTGTTATTGAAGTTTATAAACTTGACCTCTTTTTTGATATCTTCAGGCTTTCGTTAAATATTTTTTCATGAAAAGTGGGCGGTTGCCAAGTCTTCGGGATGTACTTTTTAGACGTTACAGCAGGTCACACTGATTGGACTACTTATGACTGCTTACCCTGTATGATTATGTACATTGATGTAGTATCTTGAGCATCATACAAATCTGCTGTCCACAATGATGATTGCTATTTGAACTTACAATCTTCTTCTCAAACTTGTCTCTGAGGACAATATACGGGTGGCAAATCCACGTGTGGACGGAATATTACTCATAAACAAATACATTTTGGGAAAATCTATTAATGGCATCTTATACATGATATTTGAGGGCACATTTCTAAAATATTTGGCAAAACCCCTCAGTTCGCCATTTTGAAATTTGGAGTGCTGAATTCTGAAAACTTACACACCTCAGCTTTTATCCTATTTGTTCCTTTTTCGAATTTTAATTTTTGCTCATTCTGGGTGGTCAAAAACGCAAGTAGGAGTTTTTATCAAAAATTTCAAATGTATCACCCTGTATATCTGTGCAAGTTTGGATTCAATTTTTTATAAGCTGTCTTTTGATACTAGACACACTAGGGTTTTTAAGGCTAGTTTTTCGGTTATTAGCACGCTCTTATGGAAAGGCTTAATTCCCTAAAATATAGCATCATCCTTGGAAACAAATAAATTGTTGATTAGTTACAAACTGTCAAAATTAGCTGTGTGAGCATTATAAAAAAAACGTGTTGGAAAATGAGTTTTTCTAAAGAAGAAATTGTGAATATGGTGTTCGTTTTGGGCAGGAAACATTTTCCACACTACGAGAACGTTTTGAATCAAGTAGAGCAGTGGCATATAGTGAAAAATGTATAAATAATCCAAGTGTCACCAATGAGGCGAATCAGTTGGAAGTTCTATTAAAGTTGCAGAAAAATCCCCATTTAAGTGCACAGCAAATTGGAGCAGAAACTTATATATGCAGCACTTCTGTCCAAAGGATTATTCACAAGCATAGGTACCACCCATACCACCTATGCTTGCATCAATGCCTTCGTCCTCAGGATTTCGCAGCTCCAATGGAGTTTAGTAGAATAATGCTGAATAAAGTGAGTGAAGATACTACTTTCCTGGATAAGGGCCTTCTTAGCGATGAGGCAACTTTTAACAGCATAGGTGATGTTAAAAAACATAACATACACTATTATGGTACAGGTACAGAATACTTGAATTTTTTGATCGAGCATTTGCCTTTGCTTTTGGAGGATGTCAACCTGCAAACTCGGATGCATATGTACTTCCAACGGCGGACCTGCGAATTATCTTAACCGTGTGCGTAACTATTTGGACACCCGGATTAAGGATGATTTTCTTAACATAAGGGAACACATGCTGAGGGATGTGCAATGGTCATTTATCCAAAGACTGCGGCTGTGTATTCAACATGGTGATAGTTGTTTGTTTATGTTTTCGTTATAGTTGTTTTTCTCTATTACGCTTGAAGCTGATTTATATTGTTCTGATTGTTATTAGTTTTTACGTCAAATCTGTACTCTTAGTGGCAATATGGAAATAGCCCACTGTTTGTCTTTTCTTTCCATGGATGATGTGATTTTTTCCTTAATAGCTTAATAACTCAAAATCTAGTGATTTTATCTGAATCAAACCTTATATCAAAAAAAGCTTATAAAAAATTGAATCCAAATATGCACAACTATACAGGGTGATGCATTTGAAATTTTTTAGAAGAAGTACAATTTGCGTTTTTGACCACCCTGTACGAGCGTGTGATTTTTTTTATACAAAATTCAGCACTCCAAATTTCAAAATGGCGGATTGAGGGGTTGCCGAACTGGACGGTTTCTCTGGACAAAACACCTTACATCTCAGTAGCTAATTAGCAAAACCCCATAGTAGGTTATATCACAGCCGACGTCAACTACGAGCCGTGATGAAAGAAAGGCAACACCGCGCTCGGACGGCATGGTAGTGCTACCTGTGAACGTCGGCCGCCAGCGGCTGTGTGCTCCGTCTCCGTGTAACGTTCAAGAACTAAATTTAATTTTGGAAAAGAGGACAATTCGATTCGATACAAATCATCTGAATATGAAATAGCTCTAAAAAATTTAAAAATACGAAATAATCGTGATATATATGAGTCGCTAATGCAGTTAACCTAATTAAAAGTATTTAGTTTACGTTTTTTGGTGTCAGCACACTGTGTTCCAACAGGCCCAGCTTGGAAATGTGGAGTTACCTGTTTGTTTTTAATACATTTACTTTCAGTTTTACTGTTATTTTTCAATTTTACATAATCATTCAAAATTATGTTTGAAAAAATAGACAAAAGCTTAGATAAAATATCTGCATAATTGCGGCCACAGGCAAGTTAAAGAAAATTCACTGTATATAAAGTCAGACTGAATGCTGAGCAAGGTTAACTGACACAAAATAAATTTTTGACTATTGGTTTTCAAGAAGAAAATTTCCAATCTATCTACATTAATAATAGATTCAAAAATGGCATACATATGGTAGAATATGATTGGTACATAACTGGTTGGAATTGGCAGTCCTCCTCTTTGCAAATGATCAAAATAAACATTTGTTGTTAATGAACCTTTTACTTTAACTATTAGCGATTTGCATATCTCGCAGTTTAGGTTTTTAGAGATAGCGTGTGAAGCATATCCAGATATATAAGTCTTAGTACTATCCTCTATATCACAATTGGCTAAGTAATTTGTCTCAAATACTTCATTGAATATATCCAAAACTTCAGGATTTTGTTTGGTGTCCAAGAAATCAAAATTTTCTTGAGTTTCTAAGCAGTTTTGGAACCTTGTTTTAATTTCTGCTAAAGAAAATGACGATTTCTTTTCATTGAAAATATGCTTCAGCCGTATTTTCTTTTCAGCATTTAAAATTTCATCATATGACACATTGTAATTGCAGCCACATAAAAGTCTATAATTGCCAAATCGTTTTTCTAAATTATCAGTGGTGAATTTTCCAGGCAATACATACTCAATGTCAAATTGATTAAATGAATATTCAATTATATTAAGTAGAGTCAGCGTGCTTTGATATAGAGCTGTATACGTTTCTGGTGTCCATTATTATTCTCTAGATTATGCCATTTTTCTAACCATATCAGGAATTTTTTAAAAAATTGTACTCTATAATCAGATTTATTGGTAATAGGCTTACAAAATTCGTGTCGCTTCAATTCTCCTTTTATTACACTTGTATTATATATATATATATATATATATATATATATATATATATATATATATATATAACCAGAATTTGCACGCTTTCAATAGTTGAAATCCTTAGCGTCCTGAGGCGCGAACAGCCACAGTCACACTTCTTAGTTTATTTTTAAAGCACAGAAGCACTACAACTGGAGTCTATTTCTCATATACCTATTATAGTCACCGATCACTTTGAACACATACACACACTTTGAAGCTTAGAAAACAAGCTTATCTCTTAATTACAGCCTCTGCGATTCCAAAATCACAAATTAAAAGGTTATGTTTTCTCAGCGGGAGTAACACTACCATCTACGTTGCCAGATTTCTTTGTTCACGGCTCGTAGTTGACGTCGGCTGTGGTTATATCAATCTTTTTCTTTCGAATAGGTTTATGCAAATATGCAATAAAATTTGAGGTATTCAATTAAAAAAATCACAACTTATATAGGTTATGTAGGTCAAAATTGGGACACCATTGCCATATATTTTAAAAATGTGCCCTCAAATATCATGTATAACATACCATAAATAGGTTTTCCCAAAATGTATTTGTTTATGAGGAATATTCCGCCCACACGTGGATGGGCCACCCTGTATACATCTGGATTTGAAGCTAAAGATAAATTGCTTTTTTGATATCCTCAAGCCCTTGTTAGGTCTTTTTTACAAAAAATATTTATCGCGGTAACGTTCGATACTATTGGGAACATGAGTTTATATTGATAAGTTGTAGAAGCTATCAAAAGTCCCTATCAGTGTGAAAAAATATACACAGTTGCAGTATTTTTTCACAAGGAGCGGATACAGAATTTACTTAAGAAGGTGAGAACCATCTATTTCACTGACCCTTGTTCCTTTTAGCTATAGCTCTCCTATATTTCTGTTGTATCGAGATTATGCAGCAGATTCATCCTCAATTGTACTTTCTGACCAAAGAGTTCAAAAGCATCGGAGCCTCAGCCTTGCTATTTAGATTCTGTAGTTGCAGCTGCTCTAGTATAAAAGTGATACATAGTTAATCTACTCGTTAGAATAAGTTTTCTTGACTACAACATTTCAAATATCCTGTGTTTTTTCAGCTCTTGTCTTCAAATCCATCAAACGCCCTCGCTACGCAAAAGTCCGACTTAATCTACGGTGCAGACTTCCTATCCCTATTAATGGCAATTTCGTCAGAAACAAAGCAAGAACAAAGTCAAAATCGACCACCAACACAGCGACCTGTAGCATACGCTCAAATGTTTGAATATAAAAATTTAGAAAGTACAATAAGAAAAAGTGAGAAACAGTCAGAGACTCCGGATGGAACGGCAAAAGCAAGCCATGTAGTCGTTCATATTTCCCCGAAACATTTTGATAGTAGTCGGGATGGAACTTCTAGGAATGAGAGTCCGTTAGAAGTGAATAAAGACGAGATACTCCAGGTCAAGGATACTACTCAAAACAAGACTAAATACAACGTAACTAGAAGTAATAATGACAACAAAAAGTCAGACCTGCAGGTAAATATAGAAGAGTTAGATAGAAGCAGTTATAAGGAGGTTATGTCTGCAGATATTGAGACAGAAGATGCTCTAAGGGACTTGCTAATGACGTACCTACAAAAAAGTCATATATACGTAGAACCTTCAGTACTGTTGAGGGTGTTAGGAAGAAGGAATTTTGATGGTCACATTCCCGAAGATCAAGCTCAAAGTACACCAATAGTTAATATAGGAAAACAAGACATAGTAGACAATTCTATAGATAGGAGTTATGTAAGGAATTCAAGAAGCACTAGCCTTGTAGAATCATCTAGTAGTGATAAGCTAGGTGAAAATAGTGAAAACGAGCAACACAGGAAAGTTCTTAAAGAAAGGGAGGTGGATTATGAGGAATATCCTGCCAGAGTCAGACCGTTACACAATCCACACTTTGCTCCGACAGGCACTGGTTATTTGGACCGCGATTTGGATAAAAAGGTAAGACTTCTCTTCGAAGTGAATCATTTTTATGTTTTTGTCACCTCATGATTGGCCTATCTGACCTATAAAAGCAACCATAGGCGTTCAAAAAATTACTTTACTTGCATTCTCGCTATTTTCATAGACTTTTCCAAGTATAAACTCGAGAGTAATGATTTCTTGGTCACGGCTGATATGATATGATACATCAGACTACTACGGGATAAGTTCCAGATTTTACAGTAGTAAATTATTCTTTTAGTTACAGCAGACGATAATATACCATGATAATCAGTCACCTACCCACACCAGATCTGTTTCATATAGTTCCGTCATACAGAGTTTGCCACAAGTAGATGTGGACCAAGAGAATCCTGGTCAGCATGATCGACGAGAACGAAATTACAATACAGGTAACACTGCTATGCATTCCTCTTCTTCTTTTGAAGTCGGGTAAAAGGTTGCGTTAGGACATGGTTAATGCATTGCCGAGAAATATGGAAGTAACCCAGTAACGATACTCTCTGTGGTTTTCTGTTAAATTTAATGCAGTTGTACTGGTTAGTAGCACAGTGAAAAGTATTTAAAGTAAATGAAAACAGATTTACTGATAACCTCAGGCATGATGTAGACATCAGACGCCATTTGGAAGCTTTTAAGTTCATATAGCAATTACCTCATCTATGAAAATTGATTCTCATATAAAATATCATGCTAATCAAAAATCTTCTGTAAAACTGAATATAAATAATAATATTAATAATAACTTGCTTTTTTTATCTTCTGAAACTGTCTAACAAAATCGTATTCAAAAAGATGCCAAGTTTATAGAGAGTTCGTGAACTTCTTAGACGTCACAGCATAACATAATAGTTTGACAATTTATGGCCGCCTGACCTCATGTATAAAGCTGATTCCTATGTAGAATCGCGTGCTGGTCTTACGAAGTTGACCTCCAAATGACTTCTAAGGTCATTACCTAGGTCATGCTATAGATCACCAATGAACTCTGGAATCTTCTGTAAGAGCTTTTTTTCGGTTGTATATAGAACGCTTTTCCAAAAGGTCTCCTCTACTTATTCTTTGAACGGGTCAAGAAATCAAGCTGAAATTCCAGATTATGGAAATGGCGCATCATTATAATATTTTAATGTAAAAAACGCTCAGATTTGACAGCCTGCCAGATCGCTATTTTGCAAGGTGATGATTTTATATGCTAGGGTTATAAGTTACACATAAGGGGCTTTAAAATGAGGTATTACACGACAACCTACTTCTTTCAGGAAGTTGTATAGTATTCACGCATCAGGTTCGTGGCCACAAACATCAGCTTGCTCTCTTGATCCATTTAAACGTACAAAAAATAGGTGAGGGCTTTTTGAAACAGTAAAGACGGTTAACATTTATTTTTCAGGTCAACACTTCAGTAATATTTATGATAGCATGGAGAAGAAGCTCAATGATACAGCCAAGCTGTACGAGAATCAAGACCTACCTCAAAAGGACCTCCTAGGTGGCGGTTCTTGGACACAGCAAACCAAAAATGATGGTGATATTACTACGGATGCTACAATACTCAGGTAAATATCACTTTAATTTCCTTAAGCAGAATGAGAAGCCGCTTACGCAAAACTGGTTCCTGAAGGTGTAACTGCCCTGTCAATGTTTGGTTACAAATAAATCAGTGACTTACGATCGTTAAACGGTTTTAGTTTTTAGGCAACTGTAAGGAGAAATCTCCGATGACTGAAATATATACTGATAGGCAAAAATTAATGTTCGAAGTGTATGAATATACTGCTGCCCCCATACAACCCCCAACCTCAAACTGCAACCCCTACAAAAAAATTTCTGGTAAATTTGAAATATCAATAAAGAAGTTTTTATTTGTTTCATGTTTTTGCCCATAGCCTTGCAACCACTAGCCCGTATTTCAAAAACTGCTACGCTTTTGGCACTGTGTAAAAATTTCGTCGAGTTCTGAGCAGCACTTTTCAAGTTATAGGCGGTTATAACATTACAGACAGACAGACCAACGGAAATCAGTAACATGGCTTTTCGTGATGACATCCAAATAAACATATCTCATTTTCAAAATTTTTCAAGTTTACAAGACTTTTCGGTCAGTAAGCGTGGGAAGTAAAGGGGTGAATAAAATATTTTTCCATTATTCATGTTTTATGAAATCTCTATGCTTAGGGTCTTGGGGCCGAACTTAGAACCTTATACGTGGAAAATTCTATTATTGCTTTCTAAGAGCTCTAACGTTGAATTACCAATAATACAAGAAATACAGATGTTGCATTTTTGCTACTAGGGTCCTAATTGTTCTACAGCGAATTTTGTACATCCATTCAAACCCTGGTAAATAAAAGTTAATTATCTTTTATGTATCTAGAATGTGTAACGTAGGAGCCTTTATAGCCCATGCAAATGGATATAAATCCTTATTATGCCCAAGACGCATAAGATTTAGCTTCTGCCAACTAAAGTTGAGCAACTTTTAGGTGGGATCATAAATAAATAATCTGAGCATACTGTTGAATTACCGGTAGTTGAACTGTTGAGGGTATATAGAAATAACTAAATTAGAACCATTCCCGTGGTCGATCTATTGTACCCTTTTAGACTTGAACCACCACGTTGGCCTATATCACGCACGTGGGTGTAAAACTAAAACGATAGGTATATGTGCTGGTTTATTATATCAGTTACCAGTAGATGGCTCGAGGAGAAATATAGTGTCGGTATAACGGGGTCCACAAAAAGGGGTCAAAATGGCCAGGCTTTGCCTACCCACTGCTACTTGTACTACTACATCCGTGGGGCTATAGGGGGGACATCACATGAACTCTAGCGAGAAAACACTCGTGCATGCAACAAAAAAATTAACTTAGGACGAATCCGTGCAAATCAACTTTCAGAAAGCCCATACAGAAGGTACACTTTACCACCCAGTCATAGATGCAGATATATGGTATGTACGTCAAGCCAGAAAGTATGGTAACATTCAACTGCTAAGGCACTCCCCCCTTGGACGTTAGCAGAAATTTTTCTCATCCAACAGTTATCGGAAAGACGTAACTTTTTGTCAAAACTTTTTGAAGAGCGAAGTGTAGCAAATTTTCGCAGGGTGGGCACAAAAAAGTGAAAATCTTCAAAATTGTATACAAAATCATGCTAAATATGCAAACTCCAAGGTCTTACTGGATTTCCCACACTCCGGGCGCCCATGAACCCGGCTCTAATATTAAACAAATAATACTAAATAATCTGTTACAGCAGTCAAGATAACACTTGGAATAAACAGCATGAGCAAAGTAGTACTTTCACAACAGAAAAGCCGTGGGATGGACCAAAAGCACTTCCTTATATCCTGCCAACACCATTAGCAACACCTTATGGTGCCCATCCACCCCCAAATATACTTTTTGGCCATCAAAAACAAGATCAATATACTAAGCCTACTTCACCTGGAGATGTGTATGGAAAAGAAAGTTTGGCCGAAGATGCTTATAATCCCAATACGCCTAAAACTTTATCCGAAATTCATTTTGGGCAAGCTAGACAACAGGATTCCTATAGAGGTCACGATATGCCCCAAGGCGGTCAAATGCCACCATCTGGAGGTCAGTATGGTCCTCACCTTGCTCAGTCTACATCTGACAATGCTTTTGGAGGTCAACAAACGACTTTGAATGCTCATGGCTCTTCTGGAGACTCTCATGGGCATCATAATACAAACCATAATGCAAAAGGAAGCCTGTATAACACAAATATCCAAGATGGTACCTCCACAGATCCTTACGGAGGAAGTGGAATGGATCAGAGTGGTCGCGTGGCATCTCAAGGTTCATACGAAGATGGAAAACCTTTGCAAAATCAACGATCTGGTGAAAGAGCGCAGGGTGAAGGATACGGGCATCCACAAAGCCAAAAGCGTGGTCAACATGATCACACTGAAAGGTATAGGAACGATAAGCAATTGCCCACTATTTATGGCCGCCCTGAACAGAACTATGAAGTAGAGGAGACTATAAGTTTGGTGACAAATGGCAGAGCTCATGGTGTACATCAGGTAACGGACATATTCATTCCTACAAGAAATGTTTTTAAGAATAATTATGGACAATTTTATTTGAAATGAAATGAATGTAATCAATGGCCTACATCAAGCGGAATTTCGGCACGCGAAATTATACTAAGTAACATATAAATCCGAACACCCAGTTTAAATGATTTATTTTAATAAAAGTTGGTGAATGTATTTATCTTACTGTAAATAACAAGTGAAAAAATTTTCAGCCTTATCAGTTGGACATTCCGGTTTTTATACTGCTTTATTTAATTCACAAATGCTCTAAAAATGAATATTTCAGCCGCAGTAAAGAATCAACGTTGGCGGATTTTGGTTCTTGACATCCTTTACGATCGGTTACGATGCCTAGAGTAAGGAGACCTGTACGATTTCGTCAACTTAGTGAGTTTGATAGGGGCCGTATAGTGGGACTACGCCGCCGTAGAACAACAGACCGTGAAGATCGCCGCCAAAGATTATTGGGACCGTTTCTCCACTACCAGGTCCATTGCAAATGAATGGTTTGCAGAACACGGAAGACCTATTGGCATGCGAAGTGTTTACCGACGAATGAGAAGTTTTGGCTTGTTTTCATACCGGCCACACTGGGTCCTCCCTTTAACTCGAGAACACCGACGTAATCGCCTTGAGTTGTGCAGACAACGGTCACTCTGGGATCAGGAATGAACAGTATTGTCTTTAGTGACGAGTCTCGATTTTGTTTAGGCATGCACGATGGTCGTGCCAGGGTTAGAAGGCGACGTGGTGAAAGGAGGAATCCACAGTTTTTTGTTGAAAGACATGTTCATCACACTGTTGGAGTTATGGTTTGGGGTGCTATAGCTTATGGTTCCAGGTCACCTTCAATCTTCATCAGAGGTAACATGAACGCGCAGCGTTATATCCACGAAGTTCTAGAACCCCATCTTTTACCCTATCTTGACACCCTGGCAGATCCAACTTTCCAACAAGATAATGCCCGACCACATGTTGCAAGAGTCACAATAGACTTCTTTCAACATAATGATGTCACATTGTTACAATGGCTACCAAGATCTCCCGACTTATCCCCAATTGAGCACGTGTGGGATATGATGGGTAGGAGATTGCTCAATTTGCAACGTCCTCCTCAGACTCTAGAAGCACTTCGAGAGGAGTTGGTGGCTGCCTGGAATGAGATACCACAGGAGGACGTTGTCCACCTGATCAGAAGCATGCCTAGGCGCGTTGGAGAATGCGTAGCACATCAGGGTGCATCCACACATTATTAAAGGTCAAAGGGCTTTAAAGCAGTGCAATCATTTTGAAATTTTTATCATTTACTTATTATGCTTCATTAAGTACTTATTCAAAATTTTATTAAAATAAAACCATTTAAGCTGGGTGTTCGGATTTATATGTCACTTAGTATATTTTCGACATAGCCTTTTTCTCATACATGTTCCACGATAATTTTAATACAGTTATAATAATTTAGATGAAGAAATCGGTTAAAGCCGTATTTACAGTGAAGTTCTCAGATAAAAGTTTCATTACAAGCACACAAAAGCTTACATCATTCCATGATGTAGTTTTCATTTTTGATAACTAATCGTCCTACTCTGCTAGCCTACGTCAACGCCTAAAGAGGAGCACTACAATGCAAAGAAGTTGGATGACAATCAGAAAGTTGGCTACGTCGTAGAAGGCAGGAATTACAAGAAATATAGAGTTGAAGAACGAACTTCCGATGGATTTATTGTTGGAGAATATGGTGTTGTATCCCACAACGATGGATCTTTGAGAGGTAATATGAGAAAATAGCCGACGGATATTTAAACGCAAACAAATATCAGTAAAACAATAAAAAATAAGCTGAATCTTCAGACAGTGGAATAAGGTTTGATTATTGTGCTTGGTCCTGCCCTTTAGAGATACATGAATCCTTTCATCGGTACGTGACCAACTTTTACAAAAGTTTCTTCTTCAGGGCTTTATAAAAAAATCAAGTACGCTAACACTCACACTGATTAGCAACTTGGTTGAAAAATAAATATAAAGGTTACCTATTTTAGATAAGCACACATACAAAATGAATAACTGATTTTTCATTATTTTACAAAACAGAATGATTCCCAACGTACACACACTTAAGAAAATCAAATATTATTGATATGATGATATGATTTTTTATTACCATAAAAAAGAAATTATAATGAAGCACCTATTAGTCAGAAGATTTGGTCGTCGAATCATACTTAAATGTCATGCATATTCTGGATACTAACATCGATACTGCAACTAATTAACAAGTAGCAGCAGATTGTTATGTTAATATGACTAGATAGATCTGAAGGGAGGAAAACATTTGTTATTGTAAAAATTGGAGTTGTTTCTCGTGATGTCTAAATTTTGCCTTTCTGTTGTGGATCAATACTATTAGATGGTTGTTATTTTATTTACATAAAATTAATGTTGTAGTAGTACGTGATACTTAAATCTCATGTACCCGTTTTTTATTAACTACACTATGATGTTTACAGAAGCAAAATATCAGAAAATAAAAGGGAAAGTGGACATACACAGGTAGTCCATCACATGCTTTAAGCGTGTTATGAACTTAATCTTCATTCTTGCAAGGTATTATTTAAAAAAGATGCATATAAAGAAGGGATGTTCTAGGAAATGTTAAAAAAACATGATAATGCAGTTAATAAAAGAACGGACATAACAGATTTAAGCATTACGTGCTGTTATATCATTGATAAAAAAATTACAAGATAAATGAGATAAAAACCTCATAAGCCACATACTCGTATTATTACTCTATAACAAAAAGGCAACATATTAGATATCACAAAAAAGGAATCCAGTTTTTACTGTCTGAAAAACTTCCTTCTTTCTTTTAACCTGTGCCATATCAATATAACAGTCTGTTACTGCTTGTTAGTTAGTTGCAGTTTCAACATTAATATACAGAATGTGCACTACATTTAACTCTTCTTAGGTTACCACCATAGCTTATGACTAAAAGGATTAGTTCATTATATACTAAGTGACATATAAATCCGAACACCCAGTTTAAATGGTTTTATTTTAATAAAAGTTGGTGAATGTATTTATCTTAGTGTAAATAACAAGTGAAAAAATTTTCAGCCTTATCAGTTGGACATTCCGGTTTTTATTCTGCTTTTTTTTAATTCACTAACGCTCTAAAAATGAATATTTCAGCCGCAGTAAAGAATCAACGTTGGCGGATTTTGGTTCTTGACATCCTTTACGATCGGTTACGATACCTAGAGTACGGAGACCTGTACGATTTCGTCAACTTAGTGAGTTTGATAGGGGCCGTATAGTGGGACTTCGGGAAGCTGGACTTTCTTTTCGGGCAATTGCAGTTAGAGTGCAAAGAAGTGTAGACACTGTGGTTAGGTGTTGTCAGGCATGGCTTCGAGAAGGCCGTACGCAAAGAGCAAGGGGCACTGGACGCCGCCGTAGAACAACAGACCGTGAAGATCGCCGCCTAAGATTATTGGCCTTAAGGGACCGTTTCTCCACTACCAGGTCCATTGCAAATGAATGGTTTGCAGAAGACAGAAGACCTATTGGCATGCGAAGTGTTTACCGACGAATGAGAAGTTTTGGCTTGTTTTCATACCGGCCACACTGGGTCCTCCCTTTAACTCGAGAACACCGACGTAATCGCCTTGAGTGGTGCAGACAACGGTCACTCTGGGATCAGGAATGGAACAGTATTGTCTTTAGTGACGAGTCTCGATTTTGTTTAGGCATGCACGATGGTCGTGCCAGGGTTAGAAGGCGACGTGGTGAAAGGAGGAATCCACAGTTTTTTGTTGAAAGACATGTTCATCACACTGTTGGAGTTATGGTTTGCGGTGCTATAGCTTATGGTTCGAGGTCACCTTTAATCTTCATCAGAGGTAACATGAACGCGCAGCGTTATATCCACGAAGTTCTAGAACCCCATCTTTTACCCTATCTTGACACCCTGGCAGATCCAACTTTCCAACAAGATAATGCCCGACCACATGTTGCAAGAGTCACAATAGACTTCTTTCAACATAATGATGTCACATTGTTACCATGGCCACCAAGATCTCCCGACTTATCCCCAATTGAGCACGTGTGGGATATGATGGGTAGGAGATTGCTCAATTTGCAACATCCTCCTCAGACTCTAGAAGCACTTCGACAGGAGTTGGTGGTGGCCTGGAATGAGATACCACAGGAGGACATTGACCACCTGATCAGAAGCACGCCTAGGCGCGTTGGAGAATGCGTAGCACATCAGGGTGCATCCACACATTATTAAAGGTCAAAGGGCTTTAAAGCAGTGCAATCATTTTGAAATTTTTATCATTTACTTATTAGGCTTCATTAAGCACTTATACAAAATTTTATTAAAATAAAACCATTTAAACTGGGTGTTCGGATTTACATGTATATGTCACTTAGTATAGTTTACTTTTCTGGTAATGGAAAGCCTTATCAAAAATGTTGTCTCCATAACAGATCGTTTTACATTTGGCGTTTTTTACGTGTGTATGAGAACATCTATTTTTGTTCGAATTGTTAGTTGAGGTAATGTTACTGTTCTTAATTTGTAGAGCTCTGAAGAAGAACATTCGTTCTTCCAAGGAAACTGCTGCTCTTTAGACCCCAAATCCAATTAACTTCATGTAATTTCGTGTCTTTGGAAGTTGGAATATAATTCCGTACATGAACTGATAAAAAAACCTTTCCTTTGGTGATATTTTCTTCTCAAGCTACTCTTCCCATGCTCTAGATACTGAAAGACTTGCGAAAATGGGATATAGCAGATTATGAAACATTTGAACCTTCCAATAGGAAATAGGAATCTTTTCTTTATTAACCATGGTATAGCATTTGCGTCTATAAACTGTTATGGATTACAGCTGACTTGTAGGCTTTTAATTTTTTCGCCTTCAGGTGGATGAACTTCTTTAATCTGTGGTGTATGTGAACTTACCTATAACTTTGTACTTTCTTTTTCAGGTGTGAGGTATACGGCAGATGGTACGATCAATCCTAAAGTCATATCCGAGGCATTAATGAAGTTTCTATCGCTGTGATTACATATTTTTCTGGTGCTATAATACTATGTATATATATATATACGAAAAATAGGAAAAATAAATGATAAAACATACGTCTACATTGGCTATACTTTTCTATCAATAATTTTGATTATTCTAAATAAGTATTGCAGACGCAATTTGAATGAATGTCTTTTTAAAATACCGTTTGAACCGTTGCGGTTGATGATTATTTTTTACCCACATGAATCGAAGGAGACTGCAACTTAATTGATGTGTTTTGTAGACCCATATTTCACAGTTTTTATGGACCGAAACAAGCTTCAGATATACATGAGGATAGAAAGGTCTGCTGTAAGGTACTTTAGAGACAAGTTGACCTTAACAATGAGCCTAAAAAGGTTATTTCGATGGCAAATATCTACTACTCCATTGTGAAGTCAGTTATAGTAGGTCCTTCTGTTAAGAGAGCCTGTCATTAATCACTTGAGCTTTTCTTCATAAGCTTCTCTCTTGGGGATCCCCAAACCACTGAATAGTATTCTAATCCCCAACAGACCCAGAGCAAAATATGTCATTATTCAATAGTATTATGATTCTAGATAGAATATACAGGGTGTTCATTTGAAAACTTCCCACCAAGGATTTATCAAAAAGCATTGATTAAAGAAAAAAGGCCGAGACACATCAAAATATTTGTCAAGGGGGACAACTTGTTAACCAAAAACTACTTCATCTCCTTTCACCCTCTGCCCCGCAGGCTCATACTCTCAAAGTTTTTAAATTACAAGGAGTATCGAGTAATGACTTGTTCGTTTTCAAGAAAAATATAAAAAAACTGCATTAAAGTATCACATTTTGTTTTCATTTTTTATTTCAATAAGTGTTCGAAATGCTGCACGTTATTAGCCAAACAATGTTATAGGATATAGGCGATGTTTAAATTTCCTGACAAAATTATGTTGTGGGATAACATGGCAGCTTTCGATGATGCGTTGACGAAGTTAATCCAAATCTTTGCTATTGCCAAATCGGAAGATCATAGTGAGGAGCAGCGCCGTCTTGCTTTATTTAGCATTAATGCTACAATGTCCATAATATCCATATTACACAGTATATCACAAAATATATTATGTCTTCAAGACTACATATTTTTATACAAAATTTCACTACTATGAATTCTGGTTTTCCATGAGATATTTTTTCAATTTCCCTTTGAACATTTTCAAACTGACACACATCTTGATATCATTATTTAATTTATTAAATTCGTACAATTCCTTTTGAAATTATGACTTGCTCGTTATATTGTTACTGCAAATGATGATTTTTTAACTTGAATATGAAAATGAAAACAAGTAAGCTATGAAATTTTTGATATTTAACCATTGTAGTTCTTTCAGCATATAATTTATTCTAGTATATTTATTTTTATTTAAGATGATTCTCATAGCTTTATTTTGTAATATTTGTAATTTTGGAAATACAGTTGCATTTGCAGTTAACAAAATAGTCGAACGATGTAAGAAATGAGGAAGAATGATAGGTTACCTATCCTATTTTCTGCTCGAATCCACTTTTTGGGGATTTTGTCCATTATTTTCTTATTTTTGTTATATACCTTTCTACGCATGATAATTTTCTCTTTGTAGATCCTTTGGGCTTGAAGTACCACAGCAAGTGGCTATAACCGGCCGCGTGGTTGTGGTTATTTGTCGCCTTGAAAATTCGAGGTCTTCTAGCCATTTTATACTACAATGTGTAGGTTGGCTCTTGTTGTGGACTTCGTGTGTCTTTTTTTCCTCTCCAAATTTGTTTCCTCAGGTTACACCCGTATCCGGATATATGAGCATGTGTGTCTACTTTTGTAGTTGCATATGTGCATGCATTTCGGGCCTGATGAAGCCAACCAGCAGAAATACGTATCGCTCGGGTTACCTATCCTATTTTCTGCTCGAATCCACTTTTTCGGATTTTGTCCATTATTTTCCTATTTTTGTTATATACCTTTCTCCGCATGATAATTTTCTCTCTCTCTCTCTATATATACCTGTATATATATATCCACGGTCCGTCGCGTCAATCACTTGTCATCTGTCGATGCTTTATCTTTCCGTGCCGTCCCCGTCCACGTGTAGCGGAAGCAGAAGGTTAGAGTCTGCATTCCGGTTGTTTCAACAAAATGTCGTCTCACGTGTAATATTTTTAACATTTAACGAAGGTATCTGTCGTTTTTCAACCAGCCCAATGTCCCCGTCCTTTTGTTTTTATACTGATTATAAGTTCGATCTTCTCTACGTTCGTTCTGAAACACCTTGTGGCTGCAACCTCACCGACGAGTAAGTTGTCTGACAATTTAAATCTGTCCTATTTTCTTTGCTAGCATTACAATTGTGTTTTCAAAATCCTGATGAAGGCTCCATAGAGAATGCCGAAAGCTTGATTTTATCGTCAAAAGAGTCAACTTAAGCCTAAGAGATTTGCCAATTTCCCAATTGACAATTAATTGTATTTTGTACCCAACTGGTCGTTGGCTTTGGCAATGACTACTGCTCATATATATATATATATATATATATGTATATTAATGAATCATCAGCAAATAGTTGAATTTTGCAGTGTTGTAAAATATCACTAATATCGTTAATATATAAAATAAATAGTAATGGACCTTGTGGCACACCTACCGAAATGTTTTTAATGTTTGATAATGTATTGCCAATTTTAGTTCTTTGACTTCTATTGATTAAATAATTTTCTAATACTGAACCTTGAGATCCATAGCAATGCAATTTCGTTAACAATTTCTCCCTGTCAATAGTCTCAAATGCTCCCTTGAAATCTAAGAACAATGTTACTGTAAACTTTTTTTCATCCATATATCGCCTCCATTCTTCTACTACCATTTGAATTGCTGTTTCAGTGGAATACTTTTTTCTGAATTCTGCTTGAAATTTTGTATCTTATTTTCTTCAATATATTCAATGACTTGTTCATATATGATTCCTTCTAAGAGCTTCTAGATATCTAGCAGTACATTAATTGGACGCATGTTTGTATATAACTCAGAACTTTGCACTTTTGGAACAGGTGTAATTGTAGAACATTTTAATTTTGAAGGAAATTCGCCATACACCAAACAGTGATTCACTATCAATAACAACTTCTCTCCAATAATGTTGAAACATTCCTTCATAACCATTTTTGAAAGATGTTCACTTGGATTTCTATTCGATTTCAATCTTGTAATAGCCTTTGAAAGATGGCTGATATTTATTGTTTGGAATATATATACATATCCAAATAAATGTCTTCATTCAAATTTCCATTAATAAGCACGCTTTGTTTCCTAAAATGCCTACCCAATCATTAATTTTTTGGGGTACTGGGTATGCCCTTCTACAAAAGCATGATGATTTTCATTGCTCCAATACCTGGAGTTGTGCTGATTAACAACTCGATTTAGATAAAATGTTCACTCATCACTGAAGCAGATATTCTTTACATGAACGGTATCATCATCAATCGCTGCAGCCATTTGTTCGCGAGATTCAACTCGCCTATCAAAATCATCTTCGGTTAACTCTTGCAATATTTTCATTTTGAATGGATGACATTTATGGAGTTTAGTAACTGTGTGTAAAGAGCCTAATGAAATACCAGTCGCAGCAACAATTTTGCTTAATGAAGTACTAGGATTCATTTTGAAATGACCTGAAACTCTCCGGTGATGACGTTCTTTATTTACAACAGATCCAGTTTGAGTAAATTTAGTAACAAGGTCCAAAACATATCTATGCGAAGTTATCTTCCCCGGATGTCTGACGTTAAACATGACGGCAGCTTGCCGAGCGCATAGATTTTGGACACCATAAATTAGAATCATTTCCATTCTTTTGGCTAGTGTGTAAACCGTTTTGGAAGTAAAATCTGAATCATTAAATCAATTCTCACTGTCCCAAGATTGTCACAAAGGTAACTGACAGCGAATTAAATTCTTTCATTCCCTTAGCAACAAAAAACTGAAGAGGTATAACGATAAATAGAGTTCGCCCAGGATACCTGTGTTGATGAAAGGGATGCGGAAAAAAATTCTGGTTGTTATTTGGTTGCTGGTACGTCTAATCTTCCGAATTGCTGTTTATGTTGGTAGTTTTCGTTTTAAATTATGAACGAATTGTAGATTTGGCAAACCCTAACGGAATAACCCTGGGGCACGAGGGTGAAACTAGTTTTTGGTTAAAAAGTTGTCCCCCTTAACAAATCTTTTGACGTGTCCCGGCGTTTTTCTTTTAATCAGTGGTTTTCGATAAATTCGTGGTGAGAAGTTTTCAAATGAACATCCTCTACAAATATGATTGATAACCCATTAGTTTATGAAAAATTTGGAATACTCTACGCTTGTATAAAACTTACGGTACAAGTCATAAAACTTTACCACTTCAATCTGTGCGACCAGTTGCTTTGTCAATCATTCAAGTGTACGATTGGGCGCATATCAAAGTTGAACTTTAGTTGAAATATCATATTAGCTCTAACGATTTCAGAATACGTATAATAGTGAATCACAGCAAAATATAAAACTTCATAATTATGCAAACTGGGAGTCGGAATTCATCAAAATACTGCTCTGCCATCAGTAGCTTCCTTCCACTACAGCTTTGTTTTATAAATCCTGTTTTTGAATACTGGTTAAAGGCCTTAGCAAACTGCTACTGCCTGTTCCGCAACAGTGCATTATCTGGGACACTGTACTAAAATATCCTTCTGGGGACGATACCATGTACCAGCATATGAGCTTTACGGTATGTTAGGCTTCATCCTCTCCACACGAAAATGACATAGGGGTCTTTCATATTACAAAACACATTTGGAACCTACGCCTCTGCATCTTTATGTGCTTCGTTAAGTTCATGGTCCCGGTGCAAGGGAGTAGAAAAAGATTCTAAAGTATGTTGCTGTACTAAGGTAAAAGGAAGCGATGTTCATTCACTGCCTTTTTTAAATTTTGAAGCCAATACATTTCTTTTATGAATACAATTACAAAATACTCGTATATCATTACGATATTTAACAAGAGTAGTTACTTTTTCACTTTGTCAAATGTTTCATATTCCTGACCAGCAA